CGACTGCCGAGTGCAGAGCCAGACAGCTGTCTGAAAGAACCCGGGCTTTCATAGCACCACGAGAATCTGAATTCTTTATCTCAAACTTAATACTGCTCATTCCTCCCATCCTGACTCATGAGTCCTCAAAGGTGCTTTACCCAGAGATAACAGTGGACAGAGGAGATAATGAGCACTTTGCCCATAGCCAGACTGGGGTACCGTCCACACAGAACTCCCGTGGTGCAGGTTTCCCACGCAGTTTTGAAATGCATGTCTTGGCAGTAGTGTGCCTTATATACTCGAAGAAACAAAAATCTACCAGGTGGAGTGTCATAACCTGGGAAATTAACCTTTCCTCTAAGAAGTTAGGAAAAGGCTGTGGTTTCCCATGTGTGACGGCCAGCCTTGCTCTGCTTTGACCTCAGAGCCCCAAGATCTGTTCCTACCCCCAGCCCTCCGTCCGCTGTTACGCCCTCTATCCACTCAAATGTTTTTCATTCACACAGCTGGGTTGTCCCCACCCCACCCCCAACCCCCACAGGCTGTCTTCTGCCTGCCCAGCTGATGACGTTTTCCTGGCTCCAGCCAACTTCCGTGCTTGTTACAAACAGTGCTCAAGGGGACAAAAGATTGTCTAGATTAAAACAACAACGAAAGTAGGTCGATCTTGCAAGAATCCGGATGGGTGGCCAGCCATCCCACATGAACAATGTGTGATGTTTCTGTCTCTTTCTCTCCCACCCCCAACCCCCATCATCAAACAGGAAAAATATCATTATTTTGAGAATGTGGGAGGTTCGGTTGTGGCCAAAGGTCTATTTGTTGGTCAATGTTGTAGAGAAACCTGAAGCAATATTCCTCATGATTTCAGAGAACTGATCTAGTGGTTACATTTCAAAGGGATGGGGAGTTAAAAAAAACCACACACAATAATAAATTCAATCCTATATGTAAAACTGAATTAATAGACCCTTACTCTTGGAATAAGTGAGGGCAAGTTTTGACAATAAGTGAGGGGGGCGGGGGAAAGGACTTAATTGTTTCAAATAAGAGGGAATGGCTACATTTCCTTTTTGCTTTGCTCCTTAGAATTCTATTTGTCATTATTTGCATGGCAGGCTTCTGCTTATAACTCTGCTTTACAATCAGTTAAAACTGTTGTCAGGAACTGGAATCATTGTTATAGCTTCGGCTGTGGTTCCCTACAGGTTTCTGAATTTCCAAGAGCTGCTGCAGGACAGGCTGTTGGCATTAGAAAAATGTGGGCAAGTTTACTTTCACAATCTCTGTGTTCAGCACAGAGGTCACCAATGCACAACCTCATCTCTATGGGTGTGAAAGCTTCCCCATAACATGCTCTTGGTTCTGATATCCCAGGCCTGATGCCATGGCAAGTTCAGCACACTCAAATTCTCTACCATTGAGCATACTATTTATCTCTAAAAGTTACATAATGTCTTTTCCTCACTTTAATGCTAAAACTATAAATAATTATTCCAAACTAGCATGGTGGAAATGGACTTCAAACTCTTCATACTAAGGAGAAATGTTGGTTTCTGATAGACTTTAATTCAATCTGTGTCCAATGTGTTTACTCTTTTGTTTTTAAAGCTCCTGTCATGGTTATAATGATCACTGGTGTAGCTATTTATAGAAGTGACTTTATATTTAGACTAAAAAGAAGCAAAACAAATGTCTTTGTTTTTTGGCCTGATTCTGGACTGCTTTTATACACTCTTAATTTATGGCAAATCATCTCCTTTTCTTAGGTGCCCCTAATTAACTTACATCCTAACCATGCCTGAGTCTGGGTAGTGAGTGATTGTGAATGCTGACAAAATGGGATTTCTAATCAGTTCTGGAAGTAGTTAGTGGAGAGAGAATGCAAGTCTCATTCTGGCTCTTACACTTGGCTATTGGTGTTCCAGTAGACTGCCACTGGTCCTCACATACCATGGTTATCTAGTCTCTTCACCTAAAGACCAAGTCAAGAAAGCCATGAAAACACCACTGTTATTAATTGCTGTAGTAAGAAACATATCTGCCTTTTACTTTTAAATCTCTAAAACAAGTACCAGGCGAGCATGTGATTAACTTTAAATTGACACTTTGGCTAAGGCTCTTAAGCTTGCTCTATGTTTAACCACAACGCTACCCTCAAGTGGGAGCCAAGTGACAACCTTTCGAGACCAAACGTAACGGGAAGTAAAGATCCTCTTGTGAAAGTTCCTAAGTGGCAGTTATATTTATGTATATTTTTCTCACCAGAAGTCCTTTCAATCACTCCTATGCCCATCATTCCATCAGGCCTCCTGTTTCTCTGTCTGCATGTCTCCCCTTGCTTTCCTACTGTGACACAGTTTAATAATAGAAAAACAAACACAAAAGAACACCTCTGAAATGACGTGACTGAGCCCTCATGGTAGTGCTGAAATACCTTTGTCCAAAATTCAAAATTGTGGGGTTGGGGATTTAGCTCAGTGGTAGAGCGCTTGCTCCGGGGGGGGGGGGGGGGGGGGGGAATCAAAATTGCTGAAATGTGATGCACCAATGCTGGTACATATGTATCACTAATATGTTAGGTCTACAGTTTATGTTGTTTTCTTGATAATGATCAGGCTAAAAAGGCTTTATGCCTCAGTAAACCTGTGCTGGGGACACTGATTTTTGAAAGCAAGGCATGTCTCCTAAGATCAGTTGCTTCTCTCAAACTCACTTCATTCAATTTATTATGCCCCCTTTTTTGAAAACATTTATAGAATATATGTGTGTTCATATTCATATATTTTATTTCATATAGTTTACTGTGGCCAAAAGTTTTATGAGCTTTGGAGAAGTTATATTTTTATTTAAAATTATTAAACATCGCTTTCAAATTCTGAAACTTTTCCTTCTAGAATCTTGGTATGGGCATTCAGTCCCAAGCACAGAACATTTATAACATTTCAAAAACATCCCAAATACTGTCTTTGCCTTTGTCACTGTTTCTTCAACCTAAGAATATTTTTCCAGATAAATAAACTAAATTTAGCAATCAGCTTGTTCCTCCAATGCGGTCTGTTCTTTATGAATGCAGCCCAGCGTTACTTCTTGTCAGAACTGTGTGAGAGTTTGCTGAGTTGTGAACAGCACATGATGTTTTAGGTAGCACATGTTTATTTCGGACGAGAGAACATGTCCTATTTTTGAGAAAGGAAAGACTTGTAAGACATCAAATGTTTCTTGCAAAACAATTTGATGAAATGAATGTAAATGAATCAGAAACATGTGAATTGTGTTTCAATTAAAATTAATGACTCTAAATAGGAAGACGGCAAAGTTCCTGGGGGCAAGAGTGTGGCAAGGCCAGGCGGGAAGTGACATTGGTTTGGTTTTCTTCAGTCTTGGGTTCTTGAAAAACATCCCACTACTGTGTATTCAACTTCGTTCAGATTCTTGAAAGTCAACCTAGGAATCGTAAAGTGGACTGATAGCACAAATTCATCTTATGGATTCATGGCACACTGCCACTGGGCAATCATTTAAAATCGCTTTCAAAGGCAAGTGAGTGGCTCCCAGTGCTACTTTTTCAAGGGTAAATAAGATGTTGTAATGGTGATAAAATCCATTTTCCCTCAGACTCACACATAAACTTCATCTCTACTTCCTGTCTCTAATTGAAGATGATGCGACAGACATACCTGGCAGATACAGAGCAGAAAGGGGGGAGGAGGGAGGGAGGAAAGAAGGGAGGGATGAAGGGAGGAAGGAAGACAGAGAGGATAAAGGAAATAAGCAATGTGTGGGGTTAGGACATCAAGTGGGATTTCATAATGAAAACACCCAAACCAAAATAATTATTTTAGAGACACAAACATCTTATCCACAGTTTCATCCTTATATCATCTGTGCACACTTCAAAGCAAAAGTCAAAGTTTTCAAAAATAAGATTTGTATTTGTAGTTAAAAATTAATGTATTTCTCGAAAAATTGGAAAAATGAAATAAAAGGAGGCCAGGCCTGGTAATGTTTGCTCATAATCCCACTACTTAAAGACAGAGGCAGGAGAATTGTCACAAGTCTAAGGTTCAAGACAAATCTGGTCTAAGGTGAGTTCCAGCAATCATAGGTTGCGTAATTAGACCTTGTTTTAAAAAAAAAGGGGGTCGGGGTGGGGAACCTATCTCAATGCTCAGTCTAAGTGTGCTGTATGATATCACAGTCTCTGAATGTGTACATGTCAAATGTTCCAAGAACTTCCAAAAGGCAGGCTGTATGTAACTGGAGTCCGTATTTGACTTTGATCTTTTGAGTTACTATCACACACGGCTCACGTAGTTTTCAGGACTTACTACTGTGGAGAAATGCATTAATAACCTGTTTTTTCTGAACAAACTGAAGACATAGTTGCTATAGTTGCTGCAAGGAGATCGTGAGAGGATACCCTGTTGGGCTTCCTGAGAACTCTCAGTAACTGAAGTCCAGCATCCTTCTGGTTATGCGGACACTGCTGTTGCTCTGTAGAGAAAGTAGGGATTCGGGCAAGGTCCTTTATTTTTTTTTGGGTGGAGGGGCAGGGATGTGTTGTGTGCAGACAGGTTGTTTCTCAGATCATCTGTAACAGTTTCTCCTTACCTTTCACAGGCAGGGATTGTGAGTTTTTCTTAGATGTATTTGTTCTCTGGGCAGATACCGATCAGCACAATCATTTGTCCATTTTACTCTTCCTTGTCTCTCAATAGCAGGTGGGAATGGAGTGAGAGGTTGCTTGTGTGTTCTGCAATTAGTGGCGATTCAACAGTTACCTTTTCGTGAGCCTCCGGAGTCACTCACGGCAGGTGCCTGCCAGTATGCAGTATAAAGGTGGCCAGTGAAAATGCACAGGGCATGTTAATTTCAAGGTGCTTTTTTACTTTAGGGTGTATTTCATTCAGGCCCTGCAAATGTGACTGAGTTTCTCTTAAGGTTGCTGCCTGAATGCCTTCTCAGTGTCCAAGGACCTCACACCTTTCTCTCTTTGCTGTCCTATCTGATGACAGGCCTACCCTTGCAGCAGTGATAAGGAATGTGAAGTTGGAAGATACTGTCACAGTCCCCACCAAGGATCATCAGCCTGTATGGTGTGTCGGAGGAAAAAGAAACGATGCCATAGAGATGGCATGTGTTGCCCTGGTACCCGCTGCAATAATGGTAAGAGATCTCATCAAGTGTTAGACAGCCTCTTTCTTTCTCAGAAGGCTTTGTGCTAAGGTGATTTAATGCTTCTTTATCCGGACTCCTGAGTTATAAGCCTTTTGGGACTGGGAGGCTTTGAGTGTTTGGGTAGCGTTAGATACCAGAGTCACCTTCCAAACAGGCTTCCTGAGGTCTGGCTATTTCTTATTGCAAAATTGCAGTGTTGTGTGCAAAATCACAAAATGTTCTGTTTCCTAAACACATGAATACCAAGACAAGAAATGTAGTTGTGAGTCCCTTGACCAGATTCACAGGAATTTTATATTATAGTTCTTATATTAAAGATGTCCCGGGGCATCCTTAGTAGGTGAGGGGATAGCTGGTCCACCTGCAGCCTGGCTGCACTCAAGCCTAATGAGCTGACAGGCAAACATCTATTCAGCACTAATAATGTACTGAAAACAATCACAGACACTTGATTAAATAATTGCAGAACATGGTTAGAAGCATTAGTCATAAAAAATGACACAGTCAGGCTCATATTGTCATGCCTTCTCTGGTCTCTAGGAATAAACCTACTGTGAATATCTTAAAGAGGAACTGAAGGGGCAGACAAAGACCTCACACCATGTGAGAAGTGGGTAGGCTGGATTGAGATTGTTTAGCTCATAAACAAAAAGGACCTTGGACAAGTCCTTGGTCAGATGACTTTTGAAAAAAGAAACAGTGGACACTGACTTAATTCTACACCACGTCACTATTCTAAGTACTTTTCATATATTTACAATAATTTGATGAGATTCATTCTGCTTTGTTGTTCTTTGCAAAATGTCATTTGATCTTGAAAAGGAAAAATTCAGATCTAGGAAGCTTGGCTCCAGAGCCAAATTATTCTATCCTTAATAAGTAAGTGAATGAATGAATGAATGAACTAACAGATAAAAAAGATAGATACATAGTAGTAGGTAGATTAAGAAATAGACACATAAATGTCTATACACAGATATAAATGTCCTAACACAGACCAGGATGAACATTACAGGTTATATCACCAGTTATAGTGATCTGTTTACAATCTCATTTCCAGGTATCTGCATCCCAGTCACTGAGAGCATCCTGACCCCTCATATTCCAGCTCTGGATGGCACTCGGCATAGAGATCGGAACCATGGTCACTATTCCAACCATGACCTGGGATGGCAGAATCTAGGAAGGCCACACACCAAGATGTCTCATATAAAAGGTAGGACTCCCTCTACTTGCATGTTTGTTTACTCTTTCTTTCTTTTATAAAGAAGTAAAAGAAAACATAGTGTCTTAGGGTTTCTATTTCTGTGAAGAGACACTATAACCACAGCAACTCTCACAAAGTAAATCATCTAATTGTGGTGGCTTGCTTACAGTTCAGAGGTTTAGTCCATTATCATCATGGCAGAAAGCAAGGCAGCATGCAGGCAGATATGGTGCTAGAGAAGGAGCTGAGAGTTCTTACATCTTAATTCACAGGCTGCAGGAAGTGGTACCTTATGCATATATGAGACCTTAAAACCCATGTCCACAGTGATGCATTTTCTCCAACAAAACTTACACCTACTCCAACAAGGCCATACCTCCTAATGGTGTCTCTCCCTTTGGGGGCCATTTTTCTTTCCAACCACCACACATAGATAGTTAATTCTCTTTGGTTCTATGAATCCATAGAAAATTATGAAAATGTTCATTAATGGGCAATTTTAAACTGAGTTTATTAATTTTTAATTTTGAAAATGCTGGAGATTTCATAGAATTGTTGAAAAGTATATATTATGAAAAAGGCAGTAGCCTGACCTGCCATGCTATTTTCTAAGCATGCCTCTCTTTTCATATGAAAACTGAGAATAAACCTTCTAAACAAACTTGTATGGTCCAAACATGTGGGAAATGCATGAGGAAATATTGCTGCTGGCAATTAAATTCTGCCAATTTTTTCACCTTTGCAGATTCAGGAAGCAGATATCACTAAGCAATCATATGACATGTTATCATAGCCAACCTATGAGGAACAGTTGGTTTGTAGTGGAGTGATGCATCATTATAAAGTCCTTTTCTTCCTCTTACTCACCAATAACAAGCTTGAATAGTGTGAATTATTTTAGTAATAGTAAATTATTTTACTAATAGTAAAATTTTGAATACATGAAATATACTTATACTCAAAGGAGCTTTTTATATGTGTATCTGTGAAGCACTCCTCTTTCAAGATGTCCATGATTAAAAATGCCCAGTGTTCTCAAGAATTTTGTAATAAATAATCTCCCTGTTGTTGAGAATTTTTGATGACCTGTGGTGCTCTGGGAATCCATGATGTGAAAACCTAGTTTCCTTTCCTAAACTTGTTATTTCCATAGCTTCTCTCACCACACAACCATTTCTCCACGTTTTCATCTTCTAAAGAGCCAGTCTCCTGGACAAGATCTGACCCACTGGTGTAGCTTGGACCAATAGTGGTCACATGTATAATGCTAAAGATGTTGACAAGTAATTTCTTTTATTATTTTGCTTTACCTATCAAGACCCTGAATTATTTCCCAAACCTCTTATTTCTGTTTCATTAAATTCCTATATAATTGCCATTATGTTTGTCTTTCCTCATCCCATTAGATATCTACATTACAGCACTATTCAAAATCTACCAATCTAACTAGAAATCTTGTGTTGCATTGTAGCATGAATCCTAATTGGTCTTAATAAAAACCTGGAGTCAGATATTGGGGTAAATGCTGAAATATCAGGGAAGTAAAGGAGCCAGCCACTAGAGAGACTTATCTCTGCCAAATCCTTAGACCAAAAGGGGCCCAGCTCCTGTCTCCATACCACCTTATCACTTCCCCTCTCCCTGTAGCCATATCACTTCCTGTTTCCTCCTCCCAAGTACTGGGATCAAAGGCATGAGATCCCAAGTGCTGGGATTAAAGGTGTGCGCCACCACTGCCTGGCCTCCAGTGGCTAGCTCTGCACTCTGATCTCCAGACAAGCTTTATTTGTCAGAGCACAAACAAAATAACACCACATTGCATGGCTAGTGAATTGCATCAAAATTTTACAGTGGAAGTAGTTACATCAAGGATGCTAGAGAATCCTTTAGACCACAGGTAGTCACATGACAGATTTTGAACCTAATCTGCATCACTGGATTTTCTAAATAACGGTTCATAAAATCACAAACTTACCCATTCATATAGACTTTTTCTATGGCTAAGTTTTACAGTATCACAAAACTGAGTAGCTGTAACAGATCATTTAGCCTCAGAACCCTAATGTATTTTTAGCTGGGCAACTAACACAAACGTCTGACAACTCCTGCCTTACACTGAAACACAAATCGATACAGCCAAGATGTGTGTGGGAGGGTGCTATTTGGTGACTTAATCTTTCTGTGTGTGCACACACTAACCCGATTTGGAATCTCACATGTTTTTAACCAAGTTCTTGGTTGCTCCTGAGCCTGATGGCTCTGAGCTCAGCTGGCTCTGTTCTATCTCACAGCTTCTTGTAGGCTGTATTTCCTACCATCCCTTGTCAGATGCCTTTAGCTGGCTCTAAACCACTCTCTACTCTCAATGCCTGCATTGGTATTCTAGTGTGACTGTGTTTCGTTCAGTCTCCAGTTGCTTCCAGGTGGAGCTGTTAGGTTCTGGCTAGTGAATCGAGCCCCTGGATGCTGACATCACCTGCTCCTTGGGGGTCTCTTGGCCTAAATGTGCTAGTAAATTCCTGCAGCTGATCCATCTCTTATAATTCTTAGTTCAACCACCACACATGTGACCAATTCTCTGTATTAAATAACCTGTGCTAATAATTCTGCTTTCACAGCTGGACTCAACTGATAAATGGTGTCAAGAGTCCCTGAAAATTTCAGCTTTCTTGAGTCATAGCTTTGTTTAGGCCTGTTGAAAAGACAGCAAGTTAATTAGTTTGAAACCAAGTCCCCCCCCCCCGCCCCAATTCACCCCGTACGTGAAAAATCATCAGGAAAATATCTGAAGTTAGACTGTAGACTGGGGAGTTGACTCCAGGGTTAAATTGCTTGCCATGCAAACTCGAGGACAGGAGTCTCAATCCCCAGAACCCCTATAAATACGAGGTGAGGCGTGGCAGCTTGTCTGTAATTCCAGTCTCAGAAAACTGAAACAGGAGATCCCTTTAACAAGCTGGCTGGCAAATCTTGCCATATCCGCTAGCTCTGGTTTGGACTGAGAGATCTTGGTTCAAAGAATAAGATGAGAGAATGATGAAAGGTACTTCCTAGCTTCACACTTGGTCCTTCACATTCACATGTACACACGTGCTTCCACACCCCCCCATACATGCACTCACACACAAGCAAAAAACATGCATGTATGTACACTACACACATTAACACACAGAGAGAGAAAAATAGAAAAAAGTAGACTATGACAAATTGAAAATGAACACAGTCTGGCTGTTCGACAAATGCCATAGTCAGATGGCAGAAAATGGAAAGAGACAAAAGCAAACTTATGAGAATAAAGAGATAGCAAACTGGTAGGAATCCAAAACTTTTCATTATCAGTGGCCATATAATGCAATATAATATAAGTGAAAGCATTTCCTGTGATTCTGATTGTAAAGGAGAAATTGCTCTCAAGCACTGTGTACTCCTTTATGCTCATGTTTTCTGTAGGACATGAAGGAGACCCCTGTCTGCGATCATCAGACTGCATTGATGGATTTTGCTGTGCTCGCCACTTCTGGACCAAAATCTGCAAACCCGTGCTCCATCAGGGGGAAGTCTGTACCAAACAACGCAAGAAAGGTTCTCACGGGCTGGAGATTTTCCAGAGGTGTGACTGTGCAAAGGGCCTGTCCTGCAAAGTGTGGAAAGATGCTACCTACTCCTCCAAAGCCAGACTCCACGTGTGCCAGAAGATCTGACAGACACTGGGAAAGTTAGCCCTATCAGACTGTGAATTTGTGTATTTAATGCATTATGGCATGATGGAAAAATCCAGTTTGGAACACAGAAGAATGAGGAATGTGGTAAGAATCTGGAGCACAAGAGAGAGGTGGGACTGAATGAAGTCGAGACAGTGAAAACCAAAGCACAACCAGTGTTTCCATTATGCAACTTGTTTATGTAAATAATGTACACATTTGTGAAAATGCTATTATTAAAAGAAAGCACACCACGGAAATTACTGACAAATGCCATGGGATTTTCCAAGAGTTTGGCTTGAGCTAGAGCGGACATTTTCTTCAGACTGGCAGTGGCTATAAAAATAATCTAAAGCCATATTTCTGCTCAAAGTTATAGTTTAATAAATTATTCTCACTGTCCCTTGACATAAGATAATTTCTAAAACATGGAAAAGAAGATAAACAGGAAGTGAAAATATGCAACATCATTAATTTGCATCACAAAAAAGCACCTTTTAATTTGGAACTTTGCTTTGACTTCTCAAATAAAGGCCTTGGTAGACAAGAGAAAAAGGCAGTCAATATTTCCCATATCACTTCAAGACACTGGCATGTCTTTTAGACATTAGAAAAAGATAAACACGTGTCTCCTCATACCACTCATTTCTTTTCTCCAAAACTTAATTTCACCTGAATTAATGAAGACAGATATAAGACACAAACAGATCCTGCATTGTGAAGGAATGGCATTGTGTTTCAAATGTATGACTATCTAAGCTAGAGCTATTAATTGTGTGGTACAAGCACAGGGCAGAATTTTCACAGATTGCAAAAACATTAAAGATGTCCAACACATGTGGGGAACTGAATAATGAAGTAACCATTGTTTTGCCAAAGCTTTGACATACCCTACACGTGATAGAACTAGACTGCTAAATTCATTTATCTTTGCATAGCTAGAGACCAGTAGGGTGAGGCTGACACTAGGGACTTGAATGATATTTGTACTGTGTGGAGCACAGCGGGGAAGTGGAGGAAACCTCATCATTTTTCCAGGCTTTAATTTCACATGTCTGAAGCACAGGCTGAATTTTTATGGCTGACACCAGAGGCTCCACAAGCAAACTCGAAGCTCTGTATAGAGTTTGTTCTCCTCATAATACTTACCATGCAAATGAGTTCAGTGCAGTGAAACTTGCCCTCCCTAGCCTCAAAATACTTCATAGTTTTGAGGTTGTAAAATCTAATATGAGAGGCCATTAAAGAGTGGGCTCTCTTACACCAAGTAATACAGGAAGAACCAATGTCCCCCCTAAGCTTTGAAATGATGATGCTTTCAGAAGTTTCTACACTAGCCTTTCAATAGAATTTCTTTACCAAAGACATTGTTTCTATTTTCTGCAACTATTGAGAGAATTTAAAAGCAATAACAAGTGAAATCAACATATCTCCAATCTACAGAAATTCTCTGAAACCACTTTACTACTTTGTGATTTAACACAGCTCTAAATATTATGTATAGAGCACAAAAGACGGAAAAAACATAAGGTTATCATGCCATCACTTGAGGTCTTGAATACCCACATCACTTTCTTGCTTTACTTAAATCCCATGTGCAATCTCAAAGTACAGCCCCTTAGGAGTTTCAGGTTCCGACATGCATTTTGCCCAGATGATGATGATTTGTGCTCCACATATGTATCCTAGAGCAAAAAATCATACGCTAATGTATCCAAAAGCCAAAATTTGTTGTACGAGCCTGGTGAGGTGAGAATGGAACATTTGGGTCAGAATTTCCTACACAGCAATGACACAATCTAGTTCCCCCATTATTTCCCTTATATTCACCCTCCCAAAAGTTATTATTTGAAATAATTTATTTACAGGAAATGTTAATGAGATGTATTTTCTTATAGAGATGTTTCTTACAGAAAGCTTTGTAGCAGAATATATTTGCAGCTGTCGACTTTGTAATTTAGGGGAAATGTATAATAAGATAAAATATATTAAATTTTTCTCTTTCAAAAAATTGAATGCAAAGTGCCTTGTGTCTTCCTATGGGGAAAAATGCTCACAGAATCCTTAGTTCTTAGAGTTTCAACTGGCTGTGGGATGAGTCTTCAGCCTGAAAGGGAGTCATCTGAATGTCAGCACCACGGGGTGGCCCAGCTCATTGTTACCAAGACAAAATGGCTGTAATTGCTATTATAAAGTTAAACCAACATACTCCCACTTGTGATTTCATCCATTCATTCTCCACAAAGTTCTTCAAATACACTTGAAGACAGCTGCCATAGTCCATACAATCTTCTCTCTTAGGAGAAATTTTCCAAAATGGAGACCTAGTATGTTTAGTGTATTCGTTCATTTCTGTATCCTATGAAATTGCTACAATTGTGGAGGGAAATCAGTATTAACCCCAATCTACTTCCTGGCAAGTTGGTTTTTCTGCTGCTTTCTGAGCCTTAAGGGTCAGGAATGTTTGATTGACAATGCTCAGCATGAGACTGAGGTGGATATAAAAGCCCATGTTATATTGTGTGTAGAAATGCAAAAAGCAGACATTCTGTGACAAAGTGGGATGGTTCACATGTAGCTATAGCAGCTTAATGAAGCCAGAATAGTCCCAGGGCTGCAGGAAAGAGTTAAAGATCTTAGAAGCATGACTGAACAATTCCCACATCATTTTAATCAGTCACTTAGGGTATTCTCAGTCATTCATTCCCTCAAATTGAGACCACTTGTATTTCCTTGTGAAAATGTATTTTTAGACTCCAGCAATCCTATGAGTGACATTCTTGTTCTTTTCCACTAAATGACATGCTCTGAGGAGTGACAAATGTCCTCATCTTCCTTTTTTAACCAAAAAGTACCTTACTGCCTTTTATCATTTGGGGAACAATTATTTAATTATATTTCTTTCTTCCTTCAAATTCAGGCTAATTAAGAACAAAGGTCTTTTAAAAGGCCAGATGACCTACCAGTACTCTTTTGTAGATGAAATTAATTAGAGAACATGACATACATCTATGGACAAGGGTCTTTCCAAAAACTAAGCACTAGTATGAGACAGTGAGCACGTGACACTGAACTACATCAGTCTTGTACTGTGTGAACTTTCCCTCCAAACTTCCAACATGCACAGGCAGATCAGAATGGCACACTTCCTTCCAGAGTTAGCATCAAAGGTGAAGGAGTGAAAAAGTGAGCTATGCATTTCCCATGCAAGAATTTTATTCAAAATTCCCCTACACTGGAAACTCATCTTGAGAAGTAAGTGAGGGATGTAACGAAGTGGACATTACTACTATACTCCATATTAAATAAGTATTCAAGTTATAAAAGAAAACCACCACACCAAATACACCATTTCCCCATTGCATCCCATTGTATAAAACCATTCCTATATTATGAAAGACGTGGCTTTAAACTAAAATGTGACCTGCCATCAAGCCAAGTACCATGGCTTGAATATGACTTGTGTCCCTTTCAAAATCCATGTGATGGCAACTTGATGTCCTGAGGGGCAGTACCTGATGATGGTGTCAATCTTTTTAAGAGATGGGCCTAGTGGAATACCCATAAGTCAGTGGCGGCGTGCCTTCAGGAAGTATAGTAGGACTCAAATCTCTCTTGGTTTCTGGTTTGAGATATACCAATCTGTTTCCAGATGTACACCCACCGTTATTATCAATTATCATTATTATCAATGAAGATAAAGTACCGAGAGAGTCCTCACAACATGCTTGTATTATACTGCTGAACTTTCAGCTTGCAAATTGGATGAAACTTGTTAATTAAACCAATTCCAAGATTGCTTTGTTTCCAGATCTGGAAAATAACCTCCAATTCCTTTTTTTTTTTTTTTTTTTTTTTTTTTTTACCATATCAAGTATGTTTGTCACATCATCTAACATAACCTTTCAGAGATTTTGCAGTAAAAATACTACATTAAGTATCCAACAATAGAATGCACAAGTGTATTTTAGTAACAATAAAATTATAATGCAGAGAAACCCCACATTTGAAAACTGAATCTCTTCCATTAAAATTCCTTAGAGAGGAACTGAACTTCAAAAAGTAAATTATCTTGCATGTTAAACTAAGTCAAAACAAGTTGAGGTTCAAAGGATTTAAATTGTGCAATCATTATCTGCCTTTTAAAATGAGTCCCAAACAACCAAACTTCAAAATCTTCATGTTAATAACAAAATTTTCTCATCATTATTCTGTATTCTGAAGGGTTCCTGGTGGCAAAACTAGAACTCCTTGAGCAGCTGTGGCCAAGATGTTCTTCTAGCTGACGATCCAGTAGGACATCAAGAATTTATTCATTTAGTCTCTAACACTGCCAGCCATCAATAAAGTCTGGTGAATTTTGAGGGCACAAAATGCTGAGACAAAGGTGCTACCACACTGAAAACAAGTTGTTCTCTGGTTCTTTTTTTTTTAATTTATTTATTAAATTTAATTTTACATATCAGCCATGGATTCCCTTGTTCTCCCCCCCCCCTGCCTTCCCCCCAGCCCACTCCTCATTCCCATCTCCTCCATGGCAAAGACTCCCCTGAGGATTGAGTTCAACCTGGTAGATTCAGTCCAGGCAGGTCCAGTCCCCTCCTCCCAGGCTGAGCCAAGTGTCCCTGTATAAGCCCCAGGTTCAAAACAGCCAGTTCATGTACTGAGGACAGGGCCAGATCCCACTGTCTAGATGCCTCCTAAGCAGATCAAGCTAATCAACTGTCTTATTTATCCAGAGGGCCTGATCCAAGTTGGGGGCCCCTCAGCTATTGGTTCATAGTTCATGTGTTTCTTTTCGTTTGGATATTTGTCCCTGTGCTTTTTCCAACCTTGGTCTCAACAATTTTCGCTCATACAAACCCTCCTCTTTCTCATCAATTGGACTCCTGGAGCTCCACCTGTGTTCTCTGGTTCTCTGATATCTCTGTCAAAGTTCAGTCAGCACATGTAAGGCTTAGGAGTTCTCAAAGGCTGCCATAGAGGTGCATAGCACTGATTGAAGATAAGTCTTCCCTTTTACTCTGTGAAATTGTCTACTGATCTAAATCAGGTATCTGGAACTGTGACATATTAATTGAAAAGTATGTGGGGGGGTGTTTTATCAAACAAATATGGCTCTCTCTCTCTTTAAAAAGTATTTTTGACATTATATTATAATTACATCACTTACTCCTTCCCTTTACTCCTCAAAATCCTTACATGTATCCTCTTGTTCTTTTTCAAATTCATGATCACTTTTTCTTTAATTTCTGATATATATATATATAATATTGATTACATATTAATATATCTTACAAAATATAATATATTCCTAAACACATAGATATAACCTGCTCAATCTGTATAATGTTACACCTATAGATATGTTTTCATGGCTGACCATTTGATACTGGATTACCAATTATGCTTTTCCTTGGGGAAGACTATTTCTTCTGCCCTCAGTGTTCCTTAGTTGTCCCTGAGCTGTCTCTGACCTGAAAGCCTTCTCTGGGAGGACTAGCTCTCATGGTACCAGAAGGTACCATGCAAGCTTCCAAAGGAGGGAAACAAGTAACTGTCCTATCTTGCCATGGAACCTATGAACCATATTTATGCCCAGCACAGCATGATTACTCCAAGGGTTTAACTGTGGCACATACACTTTGGCAGTCAGTAATCAACAGCTCTCTGATTAGACCTGAGAGCTGCTCACCACAA